TGGGGACTGATATATTAGGGGGAACCAGACCTTTTTGCGAAACATGTGTAGGCTGGCAAATTCTGGAGATGGTTGCCCAGTCAGATCTGAAGGGATAAATGGCTGGGAAAGGCTGATGACATGAACGAAACAATCCAAGATTGAACTAATTCCTCTGGAGGAATAGCCCTATGAGATAGATCACTCAGCACACAGCCTTCCCAGATTTGCTGAGCTACAACTTCCAGGTGCTGATGTACTAGATTAGTGAAAGGCTATTCCCAGATAGAGGAACAAATGACAGACTCCAAGAGAGATGCTGATCTCCTTTGAGTTCCCCTATCTGTTCTGCTAGTTGCAAGTGAATCCTTGAGTGCTTCCATGTGCTGTTATTTATTTAACAGTGAAGCTATTCAAAGAGATGACTCACACTCTGGCCCAGCCCCAATCCTTCCACAGAACCCAGAAGAAGGAAAACACACACACACACACACACACCCCACCACACGCCTGGCATCACAAAACTCTTTAACCCTATCTGGAACGCCCAACTCCTGCAATGCTTCCCTTGCAGCCATAACTCAGCCATTCTCCTCTTTTACTTCTATACAAAGGTGGATCCCTTACCTTGGCAGACTGAGTACCTCTTTAAATCCAAAACATCTATTAAATCTGTATCAGGCAAACAGTACTGCTATGAGAATTGGGGTGGACAGGAGCTGGGGCAAGTAACAGTAGCTCACCCCATCGTGCGGCACTTGCGTCTCAAACCTGGGCTGCCAGCTTTCCAGTTGACCAGCTCAGGATCTTTAACCACTGAGCCATCAAGCCCCCAGCTTTCTCTGATAATCATGTTAATAAGCTCTTCTCACATGAAAGACTACTACTAAACATATCCCACTCATAAATTATGCTTTCTAAAAACAGGGAGCACCTTCAGAATTGTGTGAAACCTGTATAGGAGGCTCTTCCCCCCACAGTCGCTAAAACCACCATTTTGTGCTTTCCACAATGCATCAGAGTCATGCTAAATTAACGGCATTCTGGGAAATGGAAATTGGCCACTTCCCACAGCAAGACATTCTGGAAACTTCCCACAGGGTGGTAGGTTTGAATGTGGCAGATGCTGATGTGGGCATATCAGAAGCCTGCATTAAAGAGAAGGTCCTTTCAGCTGGAAAGCATGCTTGTTGTCTTCAGAGACAGTGAGATCTTTGGGCATTGACTATGTCATTCTTTCAAAAGCATGTCCGTTGGTTGTCAATAGGGAGGGCAAAATGTTTTGAATTCCAAACACCCTACTTGGAGCACCAATCATTCTGTTTCATCTTTAAAAGTCTTGAGTGTAAAATAGGATGTTTTAATTATTCTGGAGGAGTTTTAAGCTGAATTTATAGCATTTTGAACTTGAATCTCTTCTAAAACTATCAAAACAGTCTTTTTCAGGCTTGAAATCAGGTATTTCTGCTCAAAGAGAGATTTTTTTTTCCAATTCAGATCTCTTCTTATTAAAAGGAGACATCAAAAATTCTCTCACATTTTCTTTGACAGTTTTCATAAATTCAGTGGAGAATTCTTAAAAGCTGTTTGCATTCAGTTCTAGTTTTAAGTGTCTACATAACTCTAGTACAATTATTTTTCTTCTTCTTCACCCATTAACTAATGTATAGCTTTTACTGCTTTAAGTATTTCAAATCACTTTCCAACTTGCTTTAGAGAACTGAGGCATATTAAAAATAAAAGATATAGTAGTTTAGATTTCTCCTTTTTCCTTTCTTCTGTTGTTTCTCTGTGACAGCCCCTCAGGTACTGGAAGACTGCTATCAAGTCACCTTTAGTCCTTCTCTTTGTTAGAGTAGACATATCCACTGTGTTTCCCCGAAAATAAGACCCACCGGGAAAATAAGCCCTAGCATGATTTTTCAGGATGCTCTTAATATAAACCCCATCCCCAAAATAAGCCCCAGTTAAGATTGTCAGCCAGACGGACGCATTTAGTACCAAATTTCCCCAAAAATAAGACCTAACCGGAAAATAAGCCCTCATGTGTCTTTTGGAGCAAAAATTAATATAAGACCCGTTCTTATTTTCGGGGAAACATGGTAGTTCCCTCAATCATTCATCATATGATTTAGCCTCTGGACCCTTAATCTCTGCATTCTTTCTAGAGTCTCAACATCATTTTCATATTGTGGTGACATTGAGTCTGATTCTCTCACAATATGAAATTCAGGGGCTGCACATGTACTCTGGGAAGTGTATTCTTGCCCCAGTGAACGCTGTAGTGCAGTGTTTTTCAACCTTGGCAAATTTAAGATGTGTGAACTTCAACTCCCAGAATTCCAGAGCCAGCATGCTGCTACAAGTACAGATAATCCTTGACTTACAACAGTTCATTTAGTGACCAATCGAAATTAAAATGGCATTGAAAAAAGTGACTTATGACCGTTTTTCACACTTATGGCCATTGCAGCATGACCATGGTCACTTGATCAAAATTCAGTCTCTTGGCAACTGACTCGTATTTATGATGGTTGCAGTGTCCTCAGTTCATGTGATCCCCTTTTGTGACCTTATGACAGACGAAGTCTGGGGAAACCAGATTCATTTAACAACCATGTTACTAACTTAACAACTGCAGTGATTCACTTAACAACTGTGGCAAGAGAGGTCATAAAATGGGGCAAATTCACTTAATGTTTTACTTAGCAACATAAATTTTGGGCTCAATTGTGGTTGTAAGTCAAGGGCAATCTGTAGTCTTCAGCTTACAACCACAATTGTGACTGGATTTCTGGTTTAAGTCATTACGGTCCAATCCAGTACATTACGTACATAAAAACACATGATCGGTTACGTTTTTTGACATTTTTTACAGCAATCGTTAAGCAAATCACTCTGTCCATAATGTGAACCCTTTGTAAATGGACAGTTTCTGCTGGAAACTAGCAAAAAAATATTGCAAATCATGGTCATATGACCGTGGGACACTGCAACCAGTCGTAAGGGTGAGTCACTTGCCAAGCAACTGAAATACAGCCAGTTGTCAAGATTCTTTAACCCCCAATTCCTGGAGGTAAAACATATTGGAAAAAGAGCACACAAATCTTGTTTCCTTCATCATGTTCTGCAGCCAACGGGTTTGGCTTGCTTATAGCCAAAATCTGTGATCAAATATATAAATATAACAAGTCTCTTTTCACAATAACTGCACCTACTTACTATAATGAATCCATTTTGTGTGCAATAGCTCGGGCAGCAAGCTGAACAAGTCTCAACGCATAGACCCAAGCAAGGTTTTGCAAACCACCAGGAAGTAGCTTTAATGTGCACAGTATACAAAATACTCAGCCTATTGCAACACACATAGACACACACACACAGGCTCCTTGGCCTATATCAAAGCCATTTTTTGGCAATAGTACAGATCAGGTGCTCCCCGTAAGTACACACAAGTCATCTTGCTCTGCAAAGCAAACAGGATTTATAGACTGCAATGGGGAAAGTCATGCCACAGTGAACAAAAGGAATAACTCAAGCAGTGTTGGCTGTAAGATCCAGGAAGAGTCTCAGTCCCCTAAATATTGGGTTCAGCTATTCAATCAAACAAACTAATACACTTTTGGGAAACTGTGATTTCATGCAATGGATTGGGAGAATGCCAGGAGCAAGCATGGAGGGTACGCACAGCAATCCGAAAATGTTTCAAGCTGTTTGGATTCTATCCAACCAAGAAAGCCAATTTTCCATTAGCCTGATTTCATCTCCATCCTATGCCAAATAACAGAACTGGAAGGGACCTTGTAGGTCATGTAGTCCAACCTCCCCCCCTTTTCATCCTGCTGATTTTTGTTTCTTGGACTCCTCCTTGAGATTTTTTTAGATTTGTTTGTTTGTTAAGATTTTTGTTTTGTATTTTTTAGCTTTTTATGCAATTTTACTTTTGTATATTTATGTTTTTAAATTACTTGTACCTGGCCCTCCTTATGCTGCTTTCTGTAATAATCATCCGTGAGGATGCTGCAGCAGTCTTAAGTGCAAGAACTGCTCGTAAGTCACTTTTTCACTGGGGTTGTAACTTTGAATGGACACTAAATGAACAGTTGCAAGTTGAGGATTCACCTACACTCTAACCCTGCTGAAATTATATCAGCATTCAAGGCAAAAATAGAAACAGCAATATAGCACTTAGACTGATATACTGCTCCATAGTTCTTTAAAGCCCTCTCTAAGCAGTTTACCACTCAGCTCCCAACAATCTGGGTACTCATTTTTACCTTGAGCTGGTCAGAACTGAACTGCCGGCAGAAGAAGAAGGAAGAGGAAGAGGAGGAGGAGGGGGAGGAGGAGGAGGAGGAGGAGGAAGAAGAAGAAGAAGAAGAAGAAGAAGAAGAAGAAGAAGAAGAAGAAGAAGAAGAAGAAGAAGAAGAAGAAGAAGAAGAAGAAGCTGGAAGGGATCTTGGAGATCTTCTAGTCCAGCCCCTCCTCAAGCAAGAGAACATATACCATCTCAGACAGGTGATTGTCTAGTCTCTTCTTAAAAATTTCCAGTGATTCTAACCACCATTCTAACCACTGCAACACCACAGCTCTTAGAATACTAAAGTTTCTCTAGTCATCTCTGGAAGTAAAACTAAAATAACTAATTAATTGCACAGTGACTCTTTCCTGACCACCAAAATCCGCCACTTGAGGCAGCCAATCCCCTCTGCCTCACATTAAGGCCAGCCTTGTCTGCTCTGCTCCAAGTGGGACTCCTGACTTCTGGATGTGGCTGCCATACACAATGGGAGGAAATTCAGACTAATGAAAAATTTCTTCCCATAGCTAACAGCTCAGCTGTTATGTGTGAAAAAAAAATCACTGCAGGGTCACCAAAGTGTTAAACAAGTTCGTTGATGACTGTAAGTGTGCAGATGGGTTGCTTATTCCAATGCAACAAAGTTATTTGCTGGGCCAAAAGTTTCCTTCCCCACCTTAGAGAAAAATTAAGGCACAGCTTAGAAGAAGCCATTTCTTACCTCGCACATCTGCAGCTGGAAAGTGCGGCGTTCCTTCTGCAGGTCCTCCGTGATTTCCGTGGCTGAAGGTTCAGTCTGGATGACTCCAGATATCTTGGCTCGCTCCTTCTCCTTCTCCAGCTTTGCTCTAAGGTAACAGAGAATCCCAGCGGCAACATGATGGACAGATTCGGAATAATTTGTGAGATACGAACGGTGTGCGGGGAATTCTACAGGTGAATGTTGCTGCAATCTGTCTGTACCCGTGGTCATATTTTAATACAGATAGGTCTAGGGTGCACCGTGATCTACTTGGCTCAGTCCAGGACACGAGACACACTGGCAGTTGCCACTAACTAGCTTTTCAGAATGGAGGCTTTTTCTCAAGCTGAGGCATTTTGCAACAATTACCTGCATTCTTCTGTTGAGCTCTATAACTCAAAGAAGATTCCAGCTTTTTATCGGTAGTCCTTGACTTGCAACCACAATTAGGACCAGAATTTCCATTGCTAAGCAAGGGGAGGGGGGTTGTTAAAACAAGTCACAGTCGGTTTTATGACCATTTTTGCGATGATTGTTAAGAGAATCGTGCAGTTGTTAAGTGAATCCAGCTTCCTCATTGACTTTGTTCATCAGAAGCCGACTGGGAAAGTCATAAATGGTGATCACATGACCCCAGGATGCTGAAACTATCACAAATACATGCCAGTTGCTGAGTGCCTGAATTTTGATCATGTTACTGTGGAGATGCTGCGACAGATGTAAATGTAAGAACCGGTTGCAAGTCACTTTTTCAATGTTGTAATTTCAAAGGGTCACTAAATAAATGGTTGCAAGTCTAGGACTACCTGTACGCCTTAAAGAGTCAATTTCATCACGAACCTAGGAAGCTGCTCATACCAAGCCAGACCTTCCACCCATATTGTCCACACTGAGTTGCAGAATATATCCGAGGCTTTACGCAGATATTTTTCCCAGCTCATTTTGAAGATCCCAGGTTCAGCATGCAAATGCTACCTTCAATTTAGGCTATGCACTGATTTGGGTTCAAAAAGAAAAAGCTGGTTAGCTGAATGCCCTTTTGTGGGCATTCTCCTAGACCAGGGGTCTCCAAACTTGACAACTTTAAGAAACTTGTGGACTTCAATTTCCAGAATTCCTCTGGAGGAGTTCTGGGAGTTGAAGTCCACAAGTCTTAAAGTTGCCAAGTTTGAAAACCCCTAGACCATTCAACCATTCCTTGCAGCAGTTGCCTCTTTCCTGAGGATTGCATGGCTGTCTTCTAGAATTGTAGTGCCATCCTGAGAAAATATGTGGCATTTGTTAGGCACAGAGGTACAACTTCTTAATCAAAGTGTGTCTCCAGGAATTGCCCTGCAGCTGCAGAAGAAACGTTGCAATCTCAGAAAAAGAAGCGGCTGCTTTAAGAAGTGATTGACAGGTAGGTGAACTCCAAGTGTTCTTCAAAACACTTTTTGCTTTTGGGATCCATAGTCCTTTACCACTACAGCCAGAAAGATACCGGATAGCCCAGAGGCACATTATAAAGCAGGGGTTGCCAACCTTGACCACTTTAGGACTTGTGGACTTCAACTCCCAGAATTCTGGGAGCTGAAGTCCACAAGTCTTAAAGTTGCCAAGGTTGGTGACCTCTGTTATAAAGGACACTCTCGTTGGCTGGTTGACCCAAATCTCACAACCTCCCTTATGGCTTGTCCATAACAAAACACTTTTGTTTAGGAGAAGATGGAGGAAGAAGCCTACTCCTGCCAGAGGCAACAGGGGTTGGTTACTCACACTTTGGTCTCGTAATCCTTCCAAGTCTTTTCAATTTGCTTCTTGGAATCCTGCCCAGGGAAAGAGAAGGAGAAGGAATCAGCAAGCGAGTCACTGGAGGGTAAGAACACGAACACACAGGCACCCTTATCACTGGGCAAAGTTCCTCCTGCCCCCAAAACCTGCAAACACATACTGTTTCCCTGCATTGAGGGCCAATATTCGAATCATCTCCATGGGGACTGGAGGCTGGAAATTGGGTTTCTCAGGCATCTTCATAGCAATAGCGTTTCAGGCTTATATACTGTCCCCTAGCACTGTACAGCACTCTGTGGGCAGTTTATAAAATAGAAGCATTGTTTGCAGATTGCCCCCAATGATCTGGGTCCTCATTTTATTGACCTCAGAAGGATGGAAGGCTGAGTCAACCTTAAGCCCTGTCAGGATCGAACTTCAGAGTTTGCCTGCAATACTGCATTTTAACCACTGCGCCACCAGGGCATTTTCATCATTTTAGTAACCCACTCCTGTTGGCCCATGGAGCAGATAGCTTTAGCAGCCCTATAGCCAGGTGTTTGTCTGAAGAAGTGAGGTGTTGGGGATAGAAGAAATATGTATTGGAAAAGTCAAATAAAGTAAAAAATCCATTTTTAAAAAATAGAAGTTTAAAAAGAAAAAGGAAGCTCTTGTGCAACATTCTAGCATCAGTGCTTGTTGCATTCCTCAGAACACCCCCCAAAAATAAAATAAATAAATAAAATAAAATAAAACCTAAATAAAATAAAATAAAAATAATGTTGGAAGGGAGGTTATCTAGTCCAACCCCTTGCTCAGGCAAGAAAACCTATACCATTCCAGACAAATGGTTATCCAGTCTCCTCTTAAAAACTTCCAGTGTTGGAGCATTCACAGCTTCTGGAGGCAGGTTGTTCCACTGATTAATTGTTCTAACTGTCAGAGAAATTTCTCCTTAGTTCTAGATTGCTTCTCTCCTTGGTTAGTTTCCATCCATTGCTCCTTGTCCTTCCTTCAGGTGCTTTGGAGAATAGCTTGACTCCCTCTTCTTTGTGGCAGCCCCTGAGATATTGGAACACTGCTATCATGTCCCCCCTCATCCTTCTCTTCATTAAACTAAACATACACAATTGAGATTATCCTCAACTAGGCGTTCCTCGGGAAGCAACTTGCATCTTTTTCTTTACTGCATTTCCCCTCCAATATTTTATCCACTATAGCATTTATCCTAATTTTTAACTGCAGGAATTTTTCAGGTCAAGCATGGATAGGAATAAAAAAAAAGAGCTGATCACAGAAAGGGCCAAAGTCAACATTAAATATGAGGTGTTTCTTTTGTTTGTTCCGTTTGTGGTGAGGTGGGAGAATTTCTTTCTGGTTCTCAGCATCTTTTGCACAATCCCAGAAAGAGATGTGACTGCTTTAATGAGTCATACACAGCTGCTACAGTCACAGCCCCAGGTCTCAAAACACCTCTTTCTGAGTCAAATCTTTTATAGCATTGCACAGCACTAATGCATAATGTGTTATTTAATTGGAGTGCAACTTCTGAATACAAAGCTACATCTCTGTAACTTTCTTGGGAGGCAAATAGAAGGTATTTAGTTTGGTCTCCCATCCAAGTAGTAACCAGGTTCATCCCTGCTTAGCTTTTGCAAGACCAGCCAGGGTCAGCTAGATCATTCAACAACCAACCAGGTTAGAAAATATTTCCAAGGAAAAAGATCAATCAGCTATAAGGTTTATCAGATGACTTTTGGTGGATCAGACTCATGGCCCATCTAGTATAGCATTCTGTGTCTCACCTACAGTGGGATTATTATTATTATTCTATCCACAATAATGCGAAATCACAACTGCCGGTTCTTTAGCTGATGTTGGCCTCCAAATACATTGAGTTCTTGTCAAGGATCTAGGTTGTCACACTGTATTGGTGCAGCGCACGTGCGGATCCAAACAGTGTGGCCTTTTGTAACTGACAAATGTTGTCAGTGCACAGATTTTCTAAGTACCATTCAAGATTTTTTGTCATCAGGCTGTTTATGCCTAGAGCAGGATTAGAACTCACAGTCTCCCAGTTTCCAGCCTGAATCCTTACCCATTACACTAAACTGGCTGTCACAGTGGGGAATAGAATGCATTTATTTATTATTACATTTATCTGATGTAATAGATAAATTACATTATATTACATAAATTATTTTAACTTTAGATTGAATTTAGATTTGGATTTGGAGTAAGATTAACATTAGGATTACCATATTATTAGATTACTACTAGATTTGTATTCCCAGCAATTAGAGAATCAAATTAGAGAATCAAAGAAGAAAAGAACAAAGCAACCAGTGCTGTCTTCAGGGTACAGATAGTCAAGGTAGTCAAAGAGAACAGTGTTCCCAAAGCTCTTTATCTCTTTTACATGCTTTGCACATACATTACAGAGTTTCAATCACACTCTCGCAGCCATTTATTGGATAGTTTTGACTACACTGACTGCAGGCTCTCCTGGAAACAACCTTACTCACTCCATGCACTTCAAAATCTAAGGCTCTTCAAAATAATTCCGTTTTTAATTATGCACGAAAAACCAACAGTGTAGGAGGCAATCAAATCTCCAGGGTGAAGCCATTGTACAACCCAAGCACAGCAGGAGGAAGACAAGGCCGGTCAACTTCCACCCCTTTCGCCTCGCCAAAGTGGGCAACTGCTAGTACATTTTCTCACGACATACAAACCAGGCAGGTTGAAACTGGCTAGAGCATTTGAAAAGCTCATAAATCTGGTTTAGAAAAGAGAATGAGAGACATACAGAGAGAGAGACAGACAGAGCCCTTCCACTGTCATTTCCCAGGGTTCAGCATTAAAGCAAGTTGCCCTTGACTCGCCGAGGGAGTCAGCATTGTCCAAAGACATTCTCAGTGGTCATGTGGCCAGCATGGCTATATGCCAAAGGCACACTGAATGCTGTCACTTTCCCACTGAAGTGGTACCTATTAATCTACTCTCATTTGCGTGCTTTCAAACTGCTAGGTAGGCAGGAACTGGGGCAAGCAAAGGGAGCTCATTGCACAGAGTTTGGATCTCGAACCTGGGCTGTCAGCTGTCCCGCTGACAAGCTCAACATCTTTCACTGCTGAGCCATTACACTCCACTAGTTAACAAGCAAGTTTTAATGCCAGCAGCTATCATATCTTGATACTTCATGAATCTACCCACTCTCCTTTTAAAACCCAACAGGCTGCCTTTATCAGAACAGACAGCAGTGAATTCTACAATTTAATTATGAACTGAGTATAAAGTACTTCCTTTAATGGTCGCGGGTCTCTCTGACATCTGCCAACAGACTCTGGTAAAGAGGTGGTCAGCCGAACACATTCGGAGCCAATACCAGCAAGTACTGTAGTGAGGTAAGCAGCCTTTTTAGATCTACTATTTCCCACCCAACCTGCTTTGCTTAACCCATTGTGATCTGTTAAGTTGGCAGCCCCCTAAACAAAACGCACAGCACTACTAAAGAATGGGTTCCTTAGATACAGCACACGGGGAACTATTTGATGTAAAGAAATGGCCTGTAGCAATGGGAAAAAATCTTTCCCTCTGCCAGAAAATAAACACCACAGAAGGGCCTGCAAAGAAAACAGAAAACTGAGTGAGCCTGTTTTACAGAACAAAGCTGTTTTTCCTGTTTAGCCAGTTTACAATGGATTAGGCATTGGAGGAGAAAGCAGAGAAACACAAAAAGAAAAGGAAAAACCAGGAACATTTGTGCTTGGTTTTTAACTGTGTGCACACAGCCATAGTTCAAACCCTAAAGAATCATGGTTCTGTAGATAGAGCAACTGCAGAAGCTTGAAATGAAATGAAATGAAATGAAAAAAGCAAGTTACCCAATATGAGATAATTCTGAGTCTGGAAAATCTCAGAATGAATGGGAAGTTAACAAAAGGGAGTAGAGCAAAATTAGCATTTTCTATTACCCTGAAATAAGCCTCTATTCTTGGTCTATCTTATGTTGCAAGAGGTGTTGTAAGCATTTTTGCTAGCAGGAAAAAAAAAACAATCTTTCCACAAATAAACATACAGAGCAATCATGCAAATGGGTTGAGAAATTTATATCAGTTCCTACAAAGGTGCCACTTTCTAAATCAGAAGTCATACATCCATTCAATCCAAATTCCGGTTAAAGAAATAAACTTGCAGTCTGCTGATATTTCCAAAGCTGCAGTATGGAATGAGGTAACTAAAAATAAACATTTTCCACAGTTACTAATGGCCACTTGCAACCTGCTTCTGAATATAAATACATAGATCAAAACTTAAATAAATAATCATGTGTATAGGCAAGTCCCACAGAGTTTAACATAGTTTGATTCCCCCACAGAATTGCAGAAGACAGCAAGCCTTACTAAACATGATATGATAGTTTTGTGCAGTTCAGCTCAATGGACACTGTCAGGATAATGATTTAAAGGCTAAAAAGCTTATGTAATGATGTAATGTAACATAAGATGGATGTTGCAATAATAGGAATGACTCAGCAGGGTCTGTGTCTGTGCCTTTAAGAGTCTGAGTATAAAAAGGAAGGCTTCGCTGAAGTCTTTCTCTCTGTCATTTCCTCCTGTAATTGCTGTGTATTGGAGTTTGCTATTTCACCATGTGTATGCATTTTGTTCCTAGTGTATATTGTACATAGTGTAATACAGTGTTTCTCAACCTTGATAATTTTAAGGCATGTGGACTTCAACACCCAGAATTCCACAGCCAGCAATGCTGGCTGTGGAATTCTGGGAGTTGAAGTCCATATGCCTTAAAATTGTCAAGGTTGAGAAACACTGGTGTAATATAAACCACCATTTAATTACAAACCACTGTTTACTGTATTTATTCCTGGGTTACCTTGGCACAATAAGACTGTGCATGCTCTGACAGACACCTCTTTATAGTGATTTAATTTTCCAAGATTTTTTTAAAAAAGGACCTTCCTTTTCCATGATATCAGAGGAACTGATGAAGTATCTGAATAGCACATTTTTTTTTAACTAAGCTAAGCCACAAGCCAAAAAAACACAGGAACTCATACGCTACTGTTTGCAAATCATGGGTTTACCATTTAATGTGCTGCATAAATTAAAGCATCATAGTGAGTTCAATAAATCTTTGCATGAACCAAGGTTATCAGTTCAGGTAGTCCTAGGCTTTCAACCATAATGGACTCAAAAATTCTGTTCCTAAGTGAGACAGTTATTAAATGAATTTTGCCTTAATTTACCACCTTTCTTGCCACAGTTGTTAAGTGAATCACTGCAGTTGATAAGTTAGTAACACAGTTGTTAAGTGAATCTGGCTTCCCCATTGACCTTGCTAGTCAGAAGGTCGCAAAAAGTGATCAGATGACCCCAGAGCATACAACCGTCATAAATATGAGTCAGTTGTCGAGCATCTGAATTTTGATCATGTGATCACGGGGATGCCGCAAGGCTTGTAAGTGTGAAAAGTGGACATAGATCATTTTTTTCAATGCTGTTGAATGAACTGTTGTAAATCAAGGACTCCCTGTGATGTTTTCTCCCATGGTGACTCACTGTAACCTCAGTTCATGACAAAAGAGCCGAGGTGGCGCAGCAGTTAGAGTGCAGTACTGCAGGCCACTTTAGCTGACTGTGTTCAGCAGGTCAGCAGTTCAAATCTCACCGGCTCAAGGTTGACTCAGCCTTCCATCCTTCCGAGGTAGGTAAAATGAGGACCCAGATGGTTGGGGGCAATGTAAATATATATATATACATTGCTTACTGGTGTACACCGCTTAGAGAGTGCTTGCACTTAAAGCGGTATATAAGTCTCATAAATAAATAAATAAATAAAAACACAAGAAGGTTTGAGCATCTTGGGGAAGGAATCAAAAAAAGCCAAAATGGTGTCCACAACTGCATGACTGGAGCCCCGCCCTTTTTTATATGTGTATGCACATAAGAGGAGCAGGACTTTGATAATGTAATTGCAGTCATCATCTTGATTTTTTTTTTTGACAATCTCCTAACACACACACACATACACAAAAGCTACTTAGGTAGTGGTGCATTAAGTCAACCATCTTTGGTCCAAGATACCTCAAAAATATGCCATTTAGCATAGCAATAGCATTTAGCCTTATATACCACCCCACAGCAAAGCACTCTCTGGGCAGAGGCAGCACATTGTCCCCCAACAATCTAGTCCTCCATTTTATGGATCTTGGAAGGATGGAAGGCTGAGTCAACCTTGGGCCCCATCAGGGTCGAACTCCAAGCTGTGGGCAAAGTTTGCCTGCAATACTGCATTCTAACCACTGCATCACCAGTTCTCTCTCAAATATATGTCTGCCCACCCCAATTCCCAGGCCGCATTTCTCCATGTAAATCAGAGGTCCTCAACCTTTTGGGCACCAGGGACCAGTTCCATGGAGAAAGGTTTTTCCATGGGTACAGATGGGGCTTTGCTTGTTTATGCGGACCAGTTGCTGGCATGCTGCAGCCCGGTACTGATCCATGGATCGAGGATTGGGGACCCCTGATGTTAATGATTCCCAATTCCTTAAGAGAAAAAAACAAACCTACCAGCCGGGTGTCCTTCAGCTGCCCTTTCAAAAGATTGTCCAGAGGAAAGGAGACTATATTGTTCAGATTTTGCACCTGGAAAAGACAAAAGAGGAGACTCGCTTACACATCTCCAAACAAAGAAAAAGCAATCTTCAATTATCATCAAATCTGCCCAGGCACAGCGGTATTTGTTATGTCCAGTTTGCAAATGGCTGAAAATAATCCCAGTTGGTAGAAAAAAAATTACTGTAAGTTCAAAACGGCATTAAAAGTTATAGCCAGAAGAGCAGCAAAGAAAACTCCATGTAGCCCTTCTCAACTGCTTTGTATTTAAAATCATATCAATGAAATAAAGTGCCAATCTTAATGATGGAAAGAGCATGCAAATACTACTGGTAGACCTCAATTTGCAACCATTCATTTAGTGACAGTCCTCACACTTATAACCATTGCAGCATCTCAAGATTTGTGCAATCATGATCTGGGTTCCTATATTGCACCATCCTGGGTCTTTTTTTTCACATAATTGTCATTATGTGACATAATTGTCAATCTTCCTAACTGCTTCTGACAAGCAAAGTCAACGGGGAAGCTGGCAGGGGAGGTCCCAAATTGCTTCCATGTGATTTCTCATTTAATGACCACACCATTTAAAGAAAAACTTTCCAGTTCCAGTTGTGGTCATATCAAAGAACAACCTGAATAGATTTCCCCAAAGCTTTTGTGAGTTTTGATGTCCCAAGATGAGAGGTGGGCCATAAGCTATAGCAGCCTCCCTTTCCTCTATGGTTAGAGAGGCTTTTTCCCTCTTCCAGAATTTTCAGGACGGCCTCAGAAGAATGTTGGCAGTTGAATCCTGCCGCAAACCATCTTTCCTCTTTAGCCATGCAGGCAGGCAGCCCTTCCCCAAAGACCACATTCTAAAAACTGGGGTGGAGATTCCCAAAGCTCCAAATCAAAAGATGCCAAAAGGCAGAGAAATCCATTTGATTCAGCCAGAAGTCTGAATAGCTGGGAGAGGAAACCACATTGCAGCATCCAAGTCTCCAGCTAACCTGCATGGGAAAGAAGGAATGGGTTTGGAACAAGAAAAGAATTGGACTGGGGGGGGGGGGAGCAAAGCCACCATCATCTGAGCCCGGATGGCTGCCCCCCCTTTTAAAAAAATGCCACCCACAGGGTTGAAATAGACAGAAGCTGAGGGATAGTTTTGATCAGGTACAGATGTGCTAGAGACGCTGCTACGAAAATCAAAGCCTCCACCTAAAACTGGCTTTTTCTATTGAGCAAAGAAACATGCAACCTGGGTATCCAAGAGGCATCACCCATTTCATGAAAATGACACAAATGCTTTAATGTGCACTGAGAGCTTATGCACAGAGACAAATTCTTTGTGGCTCTGATCACACTTGGCCAATGTTCTATTCTATTCTAATGTGCACCCTAAGGCCACAACATACAGTTCCCAACATGACCACAATTTGGACTACCGTAGTTTTACTGATGCTAAGCAAGATGGTTGTTCAGTGTGTTGTGTCTGATTTTACAACCCTTTTCCCATGGTTGCTAAATGAAGCACAATAATTGTTAAGTGAATGAGGTGTTCATTAAGCAAATCCAGCTTCGCCCATTGATTTTGCTTGTCAAAAGCCAGCTGGGAAGGTCTCAGATGGCAATCACATGACCCCAGGAAGGTGCAACCATCACAAATACATGCCAGTTGCCACATGTCTGAATCATGTGACCTGGAAATGCTGTGACGGTCATAAGTGTGAAAAATGGTCATAAATCATTTTTTTCAGTAACTTGGAACAGTCACCAAAGGAATAAGTCGAGGACTGCCTGTACATGATATAATTCAGTCTTCCAAACAGGAAGCTCCAGCAGCTTCATATTAACTAGATAGACAACAGCAGCCTTTCCTAACCTCATGGGCTGCAGATGTCCTTCAGATGCTATTTCCGTCACCTTCTTCCAGCAAAGCCAACAATCCTGCTGGCTAAGGATACCAACATCTCTAGTTCTACCTTAAGGAGAAAAACTCCCCAACTCATGATGGAGGAGGTTAGTAGAGGACCTCTTCATGCCTAACCAAATTCATGTGTGTGGAAGAAGAACTTCCCACAACTTACAGGAATGACTGAATCATTCAAGATCAGTTAAAAAGATGTGGGAATCACCCTGAAGCAACCCCCTATTTTTGAAGCCAGCCATCACAGACTGTAAACCATAATTAGGGCTTAGTGTAGCAGGAAGATTCCAGGCATGGATGACAACAAGTCATGCTTCAAACAAACCATGGCTGGTTTACACATCACACTAAGTCAACATTTGGATTTTCAAGAGAGGATCTGCAAAGGTAGCCATTAAAGGTGGCAAAGGATAACTAAATGCACCACCTAGCCATGGGGTTGGACAGGATCATGGAGGTCTTCTGCTCCAAATCAGTAAGGATCTATTCCAGAAGCTAAAGTCTGGTTGCTTAAAAAAGCTCAAGGCATTCGTAGTCCCCCCGGATCTCTCTTTTCCTCTTTAAAATCCATTTGTTCTTGGGCTACCAGGGAGCTGTGAACTTGGGTGATAGTGGTGCTAGATGTAGCTTTTTTAGAGGCCCCTTCTGCCTGCCTGTTCTCCTGTTCCATTATCACTTCCTTAGTGGCATCAATGGGCAGCAAGTACTGCATGAAAGCACCCACCAGCAGTCAGCCAGTATTGCCTCAGCCACACACCATTTGCAAAAGAAATAATTCGTTGAACTATGGGGCAAGCAGGAGAAGGTCTGTGAAGATTATCCTCTTCACAACCTTCTGGGAGGAGGGGGCTTCGTGGTATCGAAGCAGAACATCCAGATTCAGCCATAGTTTCATTCCATACAGCATTAAACTTGTGAACTCTCAAGCCTCCTCCTTCCTTTATGTATTCAAGATGGACAATGTTTAATATTTGTTATGTATATGCAGGGGTGTGGGTCTCTACATATGTTATATATAGCATGTTTAGGTGTGTCATGTATGTGTTCACTTTGAGAGTGGGCAACTAAATTTCATTTTTGATGTGTGCCGTTGTGCCCACAGTAAAAAAAAAAAATGACAATAAAGGCTATCTATCTAAGATGTGGAATAGGAAGACAGCAGGCTCCGATCCCTGCCCAGTGCCCATGAAACTGGAAATGTGACATCGGTCTGGTCATTTCAGACTATATAGTAATACTATTACTATTACTGCCCAGGAATCCAAAAGGTGCTTTGCAGAGTGAGATTATTTATTTAATAAATAAGTTTAAATAAATAAACCCAGAGCAAAGCTATCTCTTCTCCAATCTGCCTCTGTGGTGCTTGGCTGTGGGGAAGCATGCTCTCCACAAGCTCCCCCCACCCAGTTTCTTTAAGATCAACATGATTTGCTTCACTCGTTATCCCCCAAAGTAATTCCATTACATCAGCCTGTCCCAGCAGCTCAGCCAGTGGTATGGTATGTTGCAGACCCTGCCAGTTAAAGAATTGCGGGGTCTAGGAAGAGAGCTTTCCCGCCATTGCCCCCACCTTATGGACTATTCTTCCCCCAGAGGTGAGGGAGACCCCGCTCTCCTGGCCTTCCAAAAAAGAGTTCAGACAGGGCTCTGCAGCCTCATGTCAGAAGCCCAGGGGAGCACACAGCCATAGGGCTGGTTAATTCCCTGAAAGCCCTCCCTTCGCCTTTTAAATAATTTTAATCTCTTACCTCTTCTTAAAAGTTTTTTTTAAAAAACCCTTTATATACAGAAAGTCCTCAACTTACAGCCATAATTGAGCTTGAAATTTCCATTGCTAAGCAAGACGTTATTAAGTAAATTTTCCCTCATTTAACAACCCTTTTTGCCAAGTGATTCATTGTTAAATGAATCAATTGTTAGTTTAGAAACATGGTTGTAAAGTGAATCTGGCTTCCCCATTGACTTTGCTTGTTGGAAGATTGCAAAAGGGGATCACGTGACCCTGGAACATGGCAACCATCATAAATTCCTACCAGTTACCAAGTGGGCATTTTGATCACGTGACCACGTCTGGATGGAGACTTCAGATAAACTACATGAAAGGTAAATAGCCCCCTTTGTTATGGTAAGGTTCTTTGGTGCTAACTACGTACAAACTCTTTGAGGTTGCAATAAACACATTCAGTTCCTTAGAAGTATACTGAAGGAAGTGAGGGCCATAAAGCCCCTTTGTTCTCCCCCTTCTCTCCCTCTTATGGCAGAATCCAGAGAAGGCAGAATTGGGGTTTTCTATGTTTGATAATTAAAGATGAAATATAATTGGATTCTGACATCCAGCCCCTCTTAAAAATAAGAGAGATTCACCTGAAAGAAAACAAAACAGGTATAAAACTTAGTCAGGCTTGTTAGGATACTCTGTGTGAAACTTCTTCAATAGCTTCGGGGCTCTGACATGACGTTTATGGACCCACTCGTTTTGTGAGGGAGGGAGGTGTTTCCAGACAACTAGGTACTGAGTTGCTCCATGATATCTCCTAGAGTCAAGGATCTCTTTTATTTCGAAGTGTTGTTTGCCCTCCACCATGATTGGAGGTGGTGGGGGGGATTTTTGGCCATAGAGGTGACTGATGCTCTCTTTTCAGCAAGCTGCAATGAAAAATTGGGTGTATTTGCCTGAGATTTTTTGGTAATTCTAATTCTACTGTTACTGGATTTATGATTCTTTTAATTGGAAAAGGTCCTATGTATTTTGGTCCAAGTTTTTTACAGGGCTGTAGGGACTTTAGGTATTTTGTAGATAAGTACACCATTTCTCCTATAATTAATGGTGTAGGCTCAACCCTTTTTTTATCGGCTTGTGCTTTATATGCCTGCCTAGCTTCATCTAGTGCTTTTCTAACTATTGGCCAGGTGTTTTGTAGTTTTTCCATCCATTCTTTCAGTGATGGGATCGTTGGTTCGTTTGGGGTTAATTCTGGCATGGGGTTGAAACTTTGACCGTTGGCTATTTGAAAAGGAGTGTAGCCTGTGCTGGAGTGGACTGCATTATTGTAGGCAACTTCTGCAAAAGGAAGTAAGTCCGTCCAATCACTCTGTTGAAAATTTAAAAAACATCTCAAAT